TACATATTTTGTAAGACGGACACATGCGGGTGCAACGGATTACAAACGGACAATTATTTCCACCAAAATGTACCAATCTTTTGTCAATCATACCAATGGACCTGATGAAGCGATAAGACTTCTGAAAACTGATTTGAATTTGTTAATACGTCTACTTGAGATTGATAAGGCTACTTTGTTAAAACTGTTTTCTTAAACTCCTATGAATATTGTTTGAAATTTACGAAATTTTAAATTTTATTATTTGATAATTAAATGAAATATATCTTAAAATGTGACCTGATCGGTCTCAAGTAGGCATATTAACGAATTCAAATCAGTTTTCAGAAGTGTCTTATCAGGTCTATAGGTAGGATTGACAAAAATTACATGCAAATGAGCATTTATTGTTTACCGCTCACGTGCGCCACTTCGAGAAGGTGACTTGTTCAAGAGCGTGCTGGAGCACTCCGCTATTTCTCTGCTATTACACACGTCATGCACACATAATTACTTACTATGCGCACATATACAAAACCCGCATTCAAAGCCATGCATATATAATTTGGAAATCGCCTATTTTGAACTCCTTAAAAACTGTCCATTCACAATTCCCTGAAGAAACTTTTTTTCATACTATTTAGTATTTGGGTAGTATACCCACCCATTAAAGGTATAGACCGAGGGACCGGCGATCCCCCCCTGGTTTCCTCACTGTCACTGCACTGTGCATTGATAAATGTTGAGTTGTATATTGCATTTGATATATCAAGTATTTTGATTTTACTGTTGAGTAAATGTTTGTGTATTATACCTTTGCTGTATGCTACAAATGTGGTAAGTTAAAACGCCTATAGTCAAGAAGAGAAAAAAAAAAATTAAAAAATCATTCAAAATCGTTGATAATAATATCTTGGCTGATAATTAGTTTTTTTTTTTTTTATATTGATCATTTATAAGCCCGATAACTATTGGCCATTATCTGATAATTAGTTTAATTTAATATTTAATGTACCTACTTGTATGTTTATTGTTTACTATTATCATTGGGCATTGATAATATTATAGTATTTAGTATTTATATTCAACGCTATTATGTAGAAATTTAAAATGAATTCTTCGTGGTTTATAAGTGACTTCATATAATTGGATTTTTATTTTATATAACACTATAAAGGTATGCATTTAACATTATTACTAAGATAGTAAGACCATTTTAAAATTATGAATTGCCAGATCCTCAAATATTAACTAAACATACGTGTTTTGTACCTAATATTATAATGTGACTTAAAATGTTTAAGCCAAAACAATATTCACTGATAGTGAGTTATAGTTTTGACTTACTTGATATGTACAAAAAAATATAAAAATTTTGGATTTCAATCATACTATTAGCCAAAAAAGTAAATTCTTGATTCAGGGGGTGCTGGGGTGGAGCCCTTGCGGATCTGTATTGATTCTATAAATTTAGCCCCCCAAAATAGTTGTCCAAATTGCGCTTATGGTTGTAGCTATATATTTGTTGCTTAATTAATTATTATATATTTTTTTGCTGCAAATAAAGACCATCATTCTTATTATAATATTATATCATATTATTATGCACCATTCGATAACCCAATTTCCTTGCTGTCCATAGTAATTTAAATTTAGACAAACTTCGCTATGATTTTTGTTCTGCAGTGGACGTCTCACGCATAAAGTCCAATGCCATTATTTTGACAAAAGTCCTTAGGATTAAATGTTTATAATAGTTAATTGTATAATAATATAATACTATATATAATTTAATAGGTACTCTTCTTCGGTATTACAGTATAAAAGGAAAATTAATATCTAAAATAAACACCAAATTTTTCTATTTATCGTTCGTTTTTATGACGCCCCTTAAATGCATGGACGCCCTAGGGAACTTGCCTAATTTGCCCCCCTCTCTCGAGACGGCTATGGGTAAGTGGGTGTCGCTTTGCTGTACAGTAGGTTACAAGTGGACCACTGTAATGAATGGTGTAAATTCGAATTCAATAAAAATAATATATAAATATCATTGTACACGAAAAACGATTCTGAGCGGAGACGGTTTGTTCGCGTAGGATATTTTATATTAGGTATATTTATATTGTTATTATTAAATATTAATACGGTACCGGTAGCTGGTAAGTTGAATTGATATTATTTGCATATTATCATATTTCAATATTTGCATATAATAATATACCTACGTGAGAAATTTCATTTACTCACGATATAGAGAATATAGGGAATTTGACAGTAAAATTTTTAATACTTACTGTATAATATTTTTATTTAGTAAATTTAATACGAACTCAATAACATTTTTATAACCAAGCTAACCATTTAACCTATGTACCACTCCTTACTACAAGTATTATATTTATATAATTTTATTTATTATAATTTATAAGTATGAATTGGCACAGCCGGGGGACAAACAGGGGTGCCACTGTGCCAGGGGGTGCTTAGCAATCTCAACTTATATTAGTTATATTGAACTAAAAATATTGTTTAAAGTAAATCGGAGATGATGATGTTAAAAAATTGTCTTAGTTACAATTATTTGCTGGGAGATCTCATGTGCATGATATAAATATAAGTAGGTATATAACTAGGTAGTTATATTTATATGATGCTATGTGGAGATATGGAAGTTACTATAGCGTTTTTGTGCATATGAAAACAATTGAAATGAGTGGTCACTCAAATTTTAAAACAGTAAAAAATTTTTACCGGGTAAAAAAATTATCGGTAAAATTTACTAAGCTCCCATTTGTAATGATATGCTCACGCACCATTATAATAAATAAACTAAAATCTTATAGAATAATAAATAGTGGCTAGACTGTCGTTCGTAGAAATCGGGCATCCCTATAATAAAACCATTGTCACCGACAAAAAGGTCTTTGCCGCCGAAGAAAAATCTAGTTCGGGGTCCGGGGAAGTACAAAAACCTTTGACAAAACCGCCTACCACTCTCTGGTCGCCATATCCGTATCGTCCCTTAAACCAGTGAATGAGCACCAGCCACCAAGTAACAACCCCTCAAATCTCAAAACCTATTTCAACGAGCGACAATCTAGTCTTCTTATGATGAGCCATAATTAGTGCGTTCTTTATTTCAATTTGTGCATTTGAAGTATTACTTTGTGTCATCTAAAACCTAAAATTCCTACAACATAATCTACAAACAACTGCTAATTAGGTAAGGCATTTAATATAATATTTTATATTGATTGCAGTTATTACATTATATGTGCTTCTTAGTTCTTACATACAATTATATTGCACGGTGTATTTGATCTAATTCTCGAATACACGATCTCGAGAGCCCTCCGAACACCTGGAGGAAGATAGGTAATAGCTTAATTTTACTATTTTAATATAACTATCGACAGACAGGAGTCGTTTTTATATTTATCGTACTTTTAAGTCATTACACATTTCTACTCACGAATAATATTTTAAATTACAACAAAATAACTAAAATCTATTAATATGTATAATTTCGTGCAAATTTGAACATAAAATAACTATAAAAAAAAACTATATATTTTTTATATTATTCAACTGCTGTTGTAAAAATATATCAGGAGCCTTTTATTCAATTTTCACGCATTTTGAAAAAACAAATAAAAACATATTGACATTTTCAGTTTTTTTTCATATGATCTCATATTATGAAACCATACGCTGGAACACAAAAAAAGGGTTCAATGAAAAGGATTTTTAATTACCGACATAGTAAAACTCGTATAGTTGCTGAGAACACTTTCGGAATTATGACTTCTGTTTTTCGCATACCTACTTAGAAAACCAATATTGTTGGAACCAAAAACTGCCAAAAAGGTAATGGTTTATTTACACAATTTTCTACGAAAAAATGAGTTTAAAACAGTTTATAATCGCAATGGAGCATTTGATGTCGATTACTCAGTCACATATCGAACTGATTCAGGAGCAGGGCTCAACAACATTATTAGGCTTCCAAGAAGAAGTGCAACCGACGCTCAAGCAGTTAAAAGTTTAACTGAATTGCCCGAGTATTTTATTTTACCACATGGAATGATATCTTTACAATATTTTATATGACTAAACATCTAAACTAGTGTTTAATGTAAACGTATAGTGTTTTCAAAAATTTTTTTTTTCGCATAATATTTTGATTTATTTATTTAGTAACTATCACATTATATTATAATCATAAAGATAATATTATAATATTAACATTCAAAGTTATACTGATATTATCACGCGTATATTTTATCTAGTTATTATTATTATTATCTGATAACTTTATCTACAATTGTCTGGTCATAAATATCTGTTTAATCAACTGTACTGTAAGTTGCAAATATATTATTATAATAATACCTATTGTTATAAATATTGTTCAAGCTAAACGGCATACACGTACTTATTGCGTTTCTACATAATATTATCTTGACTATATAACTATATAGCCGTACACGCCATACTTGACGACCTATAGACAACAGTGGTCGAGACAGACTGCTAATCGACAAAATAATAATAATTTTAATATATAATATTATTTTCATTTTTCATACAGAAACACGAAATACAGAGAGTATCTCACAGTAGCACTCGACGTGATAAATAATAATCCTAATTTATAAAATACTCAATTACCTGTGTGTCTGTCATTTCTCTAGGGCGATTTCTGTCTTTCAGAAACCGCCTACTCTCATAAGCATACCATTTGCTCTTGTAAACTTCTTCAGTTCCACCACCACATTTTACACTGTCTTTTTCTTTTTTTATTTCCCGTGAAAGATGACACAACAAATTCTTCAATTTTCTTTCAATTTCTTTTTTTTCTGCTCCAAAACGAACAGCAATTTCAATAAAAGCATTGTGTCTTTTATTGCGATCTTTATAATCTTTTAATTTACAATCCCAAAGAATGGGACGACTGCGATACAGTTATATCAATGTTAATAATTTTTCATTCGACCACTCCATTATTGACCGCTCAATATTTAAATAAGAAAAACAAAATAACATGCGCTACTACAATCTTCGAGTATCAACTGACCATAGAAAGTCATTACAGCATTGCCAACATTGGCACGTCCCCACTTAATTTTGCCACTTGGCTTTCTTTGATCCGGACCGACACCCGTCGGGTTCGGCCTGTCAAGCCAGTTGGCAAAATTTTGCCAAAGGAACGTGTCAACAAAAGTCCACATCACTCGTGGCAATGCCATTTGAAAAAGCCAGATGGCATATATCGGCATAGTGAGGACGCGCCTTTAGCCAACATTTTTTTATAAAGCATTGTAAAAAAAATTAAAAACTGTTTAGATTTATCTGACTCTCTGTGTATCCTTAATAGATAATCAATTGTATTCGATATTTTTGATACTGCCATATACGATACGTTATCTGGGTCTGCCGAAGACACACTGTCCGCAGGGTTGAAGCCAGTCGATTCCACTGCAACTTCTGTGGCGACCACGTGGTGTAGACGTATGGGACGTGTCGGATGAAATTGAGCCGGCTAAGGTAATTTAAGTGTTGAACAGTTTCGGGGAATTGGTTGGTTGGCTTAATCCGGGAGTATAACAAAGCAACTCGGACCCCGATGAAGCTGATTTTCTGAGGTTTAGAGGCGTGTCAAACGCTTTGTCCTAGGTTTGTGTTTCTGTCGACTCGAATATAGCGTCCACTGCTCTCGAAGTCCAAACTTCTTAGCCGAAGACGTAGGACGACGGGCACAGGACGACGACGCTAAGGATCAGAGGATACGAGAAAGAGCACGGACGGTGCACGACAGTATGTCACCAGCACACGTTCTCCGGCAACCAAGGGGACGAAGGGATGGCGGGCGTAGCGCGCTAGGTCGCCTATGATGTGAGAGACGCCGAGACCCTCTGTCGTTGGGGCGGCGGCTGACGACGACACGGTGGCTACTGGCTAGTAGACGTGAGGGTATGGGCAACGATTCCACCACGACGTATACCAACGATGACGGTGATGATGACTCTTTACGACGGCAGCGGCAGAGACTTTGGAATGGGATGAGCTAGGACAGCATACGGCATTATACAACACTTTGCACATCTGCACCAACTTTGCCATCTCGTATCCTCCCCTTCTGGTTTATTTTTTCTCCTATACGGCGTATTTTTTCTCTCCTATTTTATTATCTAGTTCTTTTCACTTTGCACCACTTTTTTGAATAATAAATTTCGTCTTTTTGTTCAATTTTTCGTATTTGAACGATATATTAAAAAAAAATTTTTTTAAAGGTTTATGACTGAGGGCTCAGCCACTGTATGTCATTTTTTTTTTAATTTAACAAATTATAATTTCTTTTCCTTCATATTGTCGATTGTATAAATCAATTGTTATACTAATTTAACAACTATTAAAATCGTTAAAGTAGGTATATTTATATACATATTCATATGTATATTCATCAAACGATCCATTTATATAAAGTAATGAGCATCGACTTAACATTTAAATCATCAAACACTATATAATGGCGAAAATAGCTTATTATAAAAATAACGCATAACATCGACGGATACGACAACTGGTAAGGAGGTACATCTAGTTAGGTACAATGACCACATTCGAATTTTGGATCCAAACCCGAGGCTTTCAATTGTTCTTCATTCGCTAGTTTGTTCCAAAAATGCTGTCGTTTGTTCCACCCCAGTTCCCGACTTAAAGCCAATTTACGGTGTTGGTGCCAAGGAAATGGATTATATATCCATATTAATTTTTTTCATCAGGTAAAATTTAAATTATATAAAAATATAATTTGAAGTTAATAATAATAATATAATAACTAATAAGTAGTTTTACATTTTTACATCACCATAGTATAATTCGACATCTTTAAAATAAATATCGATGAATTTGAGGTGACATAGATACTATGGGTGCAATTTGCAGTCACCCAACGACACAAGTACAGAACATTCACGTAAATACGATGATACTCTAGTTGCTGCATCGCCTGTATATTGTTGACGTGTCTCTACAACTGGCGTGAGTCATTTGGTCGATGGCTTAGTAAAAAAAAAAGTGATCGAAATGTCAGGTGATCGTATCGTTTTTTTTGTAGAAAAACCAATGGTCGAATATTTTATTAGTATAGTCAAAATGTTTTGTGGTTGAATGGGTTTTTTGATCGAAGTAAAAATAATGATTAGATTAATTTCGATTACTTACCTGCTTAATACTTTATCAAGTATTTTTAAAATTGTAGCCCATATTTATATCGTAGTAGGCATAGCAGGCAGTGGCGTAGCCAGGATTATGAAATGGGGGGTGTTTAAGTATAGATTAAAACCAAGTTTTTACAGTTTTCGTATATAAATAAATTTAGGGTTCGGGACTTGACTTGTTGCACTAAATATTATCGAAATTTGATGCAGTCAAAGTTGTCAAAATATTCTTAAATATATACAGTTACATTTTTATATTATTTTTGAAAAATTCATAAAACTTACTACAATTTTGGTAGTAAAAAACTAAAAAATAAGTAGGTATATAAATAATTTATACACGGGCTTACTAATTTTAATATAGGTAGGTACCTATATTGATTAATGTAATGGACGGAGTACACTATTGCATGTTTTGGACATTTTTAAACTATTGTGTAATAAAACAACTTGATTTTTAAAAATACTGGAATAAAATACTAGGTTAATAAATATGTACCTAATAAAGAATAACGTGATATGGGAACACCGTAATAAACAAACACGTATATCTACTGATTTTCATTTCTTCGTACAATCTAGAATGTAGATGTCAATTATAGTTTTAACACAGTCTTGTCACAAAGAGACTTATAAAATCTTACATACCATAACTATGCGAAAATAGGGCAAACCGTATAGCCAAGCTCCACCAACAACTTTAACAGCCCTCCCAATCATTTACTAAATATTTTTAATTCAATTTTATAATAGTATGGTTTTAGGCTTCGGCCTCCCCAAATCTCAAAATTAGAGCCTATTGTACCTCACCAAACATAATATTTTTAAAGATATTTTTCAATGTTATCCAAATATGATTTTTCCCGACAATTGTATGTGGTATGTGCCTACATTTAAGTTAGAAAAATGCAAATTATGCATAAATATGCGAATAATCGCTCAAATGTACACTTTTCCTAAAATATGCAAATTCAAACTTTGTTTGATTAGACATTTAAAAAATTTCATAAGACAAATTTATAACTTATCTAAAATAATACGAGGAGTCCCAAACCCTATAAGCAATATTTTTATTAGGGAGGAAAATGTCAATGGGGGGTGTTTAAACACCCAAAACCCCCCCCTGGCTACGCCACTGATAGCAGGTAATACTTATGCTAATATCTATAATAATACTTATAAACCTACCAATTATTTTATTTTTTTAATTTTAATTTAGATTCCAAACCGACCGACAGATTGACAGTAGTGTACAATTGGTTGAATGTCGACAACGCCGGCAATCGTAATTTATAATTAAACGGTTGAAACTTCAGAGAAAAATACCGTTATGACGAATATTTATGTATACTCAAGTGGCCATCCCAGTGTTGTTGTTTTGTGCAGAAACTGAAATTGTTATCTATTATGAATGATATGGATTTCATAATTAATAAGGAATTAGAATCAAGGATAGGATCAGGAGAGTGTAATCGAATAGGTTCGTTCTACCGTCAGAGCCACCCCTCATACTTAGCAAAACAAACCTATTCGATTACATTACACTCACCCGGTTCTATCCTGATGGGGGCATTTCATGGGGCATGGCCAATTCCTGCCAGAAAAATTGGCTCCTTAATTTACACATAGCTGCCTCGCAGTAAAATATCTTTGAAAATCAATTTTTTTTTAAATGTTTATCAGAAACACTCTTTGGATACCATATAACAGCGCACACAACAATGAAAAATACTAGGGGAGTCATTTTGCTATATAGTACTATATAGTAGGTGTCAACTGTCAAGTGTATATGTGCGTACTATAGTTGGAAGGGTTCATTTTGTATAACCTTTCGGTTATTGCGTCCAAATTACGTGGCCCCTTTAATGTCATATTAAGAAATGTCAACCTTTTGAAGTAAATAATAATAAACATAATAACGTAGAGCTCCTACGAGTCCTAACGAATAATAATAATTGTTGAACAACGACAAAATAATAAAAACCGTTTGAATAGAAATCAATAGATACTTTACGTGTTGATATAATATTCAATGTCACGGTCAAAATTTTAATTTCAATCCCTCATAAAACAATAATGTGGGCCTAACGCGAAACTTTAAATTTCCAGTAAAATAGATACTAATGAGGAATCTTGTATACAATTATTAAACGCTAGAAATTAAAATTAAAATTTAATACATTTTTAACTAAAAAATAATATGCACATTTTTGTGTTTTAAGGAATCTATATTTTTATATAATCAAACGTGTCCTAAGTCCGAATCTAGGATAAAAAAGCCACCGACAAAAAAACTACGGGATAAAAAAGACACGGATTTATTTTTGTGCTAAAATACAGTCCTGGGCTTGAAAATATGTATAGAAATAAAAATAATTGTTGTTTATTTTGTAGAAAACTCGATAGTCTAGCATTTTTACCAGAAAATAAAGTATAAGAGGGAATAGATTTTTTAAGAACAATAATTTTGTCACCGGAGGCAACAGTTTTGGTAGATTATTTTGTTACCACCTATGTCCATGGGTCTTACAGGAGTGATCAGTATAATCCAAACAATGGTATTAGACTTCGAAATTCCACCACTCTATCCACCATCAATATGGAATTTCCATCAAACTACCCTTGATAATGGACATCGAACGAACTAAGTGAACCAAGTACCAACAACCAAACAGAACGATAGAACCAACGCGTTTTTCAAAATGAGTAGGCCACAATCATCTTTCCGTTTAGACAGTAATTAAAAAAACTACATTAGAGTTTTCTTGCGACGAAACAAAGTTACCCCAATTTGCAATTGGCAATTTAAATAGAAAAAACTATAATTTTAATTATCATTATCTTATATGGATTTTGCACATTTATTGCTTACACAAGTATGAATTGTATTAATTGCATTAGGTACATTTTAAAATAAATAATAATACATTGTATTAAATTTATTTTTTTAGGACAAAAATAAATCCATATCTTTTTTGTCGTTGGCTTTTTTATCCAGTTACCGGCACCAGGCCACTGGCACATTATGATATGACTACGAAACTGGTATAAAAAATTTGCTAGATTTTTTTAGGGCATTTACAGATTTTGCTAGGGCCCCTGCACTTTGTAAATCCACAAACAAACATGCCGGTGCCGGCATCTTTGTGGGTGCACTGGCTCATTGTCCGATTCCCTAAAAAATGATTGTATAGATTTTTTATTGAGGGGTAGAATAGTATTGAAAAATTCTATGAAAATGTATTTTTGTATTTCCAATAATATGGTTTATTGAGCTATTTGAGAGTAAATACACCTATTATCAATATTGTAGAAGATAAGTTAATTTATGCTTGTATAAAAATAATTTTCGATATTTTAGTTATCATACTTAATAATTAAAATTCAAAAAGTAAAATATCACAAGTTTTAGAGCTAAATATTGGACATTGAAAATAAAATATCGAAAATCGACACTTAAACAATGCTAAATAAACTTCTTCATTAAATTTGTATAATAGGTGTTCATAGACGTTCATACTATGTCACTCAGTAAGCTATACTATTGGAAATACACGAAACTAAGTTTCAGTGTTTCACTAAAATTTACATTTATTATTAGTTTGTGAATGCTTTGTTAGTGACATGTGCGTGCACGTGCCCTCCGCTATTTATTTTATACAGTCACTCTCACTAATGATCACTTATTACGCACAAATTTATACGACCCGAATGCAAACAAATAGAAAATTGCCTATATTGAACTCCTTAGAAACAGTCGGTAATCATACCCTTTAAATATAGATTTTTTATACAACCTGCCATTTTTTTTATTCAACGACGTTTTTTAATCGATGAAAATTTTATTTATTCAATTAAGATATTTTATAAATTGTAGATTTTATATTTTATAAAAAATCTAAATAGAATAAAAAAAATTATTTTTCCGGAAATCATTTGTCAGAATAATTTGACTTGATTTTTTTTTGAAATCTGTAAATTTTCGAAATTTCCACCAAAAAAGTAGGGTTCCTAACAAAATTTAAAAATGGCCTAGCTAATTAATTAAATAATTAACTTGGCACATTTTTTGGGGGAATCAGACAATGTGCCGATGCTGATGCCAAATTTGGAAGATCCCCAAGGGAAGCAGTGGTCCTAACAAAATCCAAAAATAGTTTGGCAAAATCTAACATATTCGACTGAAGAATTAAGAGTAATTTTTTTCGGAATCGGACAATGTGCCGATGCACCCACAATTAACTGGCATGTTTGTGGATTTATAAAGTTCAGGGGCCCTAGCAAAATCTAGCAAATTGTTGATACCAGTTTCGTAGTCATAGCACAATGTGCCAACTCGATGGACAACCGTTCAATAACTTATAATTTATTACAATAGACATTGGGCCTTTTTGTTCCAATATACAGAAATTTGGAATTTGAAATCCTTGTAAACCAACCCGATAGGGTTAAGTACTTAAGTATATTGATCTAACACCCAAAATTCTAGGCTTTAAAATATAATATCGGTAAATCGTTCTTTCAAATTATTTGTTTCTTATAATTAATTTATTTATTCCAATAAACATTTGCTCCAAACTTAGAAAATATATTGCGTAATATAAATGTATAAGTACAATATCGAGTATCATATAATTATGTATCATTCATATCTATTGGTTCATCGAAAAAGTTGTAATTTTGATATTTGGGGAGGGATATGACGATAGTATTGGTTTGTACATAGTAGGAGCACATCAACATTCTCTAGATTCTCGGAAACGAACTGGCGGTGAGTTAAAATATAATTATGAGCAATATTGAACACTGGTGTAATAGTGTAATGTACTCGTATTTTACAAACCTATTCACGCCGATCATAGTTAATAACAGGCATTTACAGCTAGTTAATAATACCTATATGAAATAATGTTATAATAAAATTACTATATAATATATACAATTGGTTTTTGGAAAAATTATTTCAGCAAACCTTTAGTTTAAACCAAAAAAAAAAATAAAAAAAATTCCATAAAATAGATGGGTAAACGCCCTGCTGACAAAAATAATATATTTTATAGTTGTATACGTTTATACATTTCTAGATTAAATCAAACAAAAAAACGACTTGAAAAATTATATTACATTACAATTTCTATATTAGGTACATGTATATTCAAAATAAACATATGAAGTTTAGGTGATAAATGATAATGATTGACGAACTAAATATTTTGTTTTAAATTTTAAATTTTAATGTACAATTTATTATTTTATTAAAATATAAATAATTTTGTTGTGTATGGTTTAGTATTAAAAAAAAAAAAAAATACAGAAATTATTATTAAATGTATGTAAAATCAAATGTTTGACTTACCTATTTCTTAAATGATAAATAAAAACTACACAAATAAATTATTTTTATTAAAAATATCTTCAAAACCAATTGTACAGCTATCTATCAGTTCTGAGCTTGTAAATCTAGAAATATTAAACACAAGAATTAATAAATATTTTTTAAAACACACAATTAAATAAATGAATTATTCATTAAAAATAATTCAAATTTAAAATATAATTACACTCTAATTATTATTATTATCATCACTGAAAAAGTAAACAAAAAAGGTGGATAAGTTGGTGTCAGTAGGTTACAAGTGAGTCACTTTAATGGATGGTGTTAAATTTGTATACGAAAAACGATTCTGAGCGAAGAAGGCATAGTCAGCCTATATGATATTAATATAAGTATATTTGATGATATTATTGTGAATAAAGTAATTTATTTACCTATTAGTTAAAAACCTTGTTTTAAATTTGAAATCCTTAGATATAAAAGTTGAACATTTTATACATTTTGAAAAATAGTTTTTAAATTTGATACATTTTGATAAAATTTGAACTTGAAACAAAAATAAAAATAAATCGTGCCTATGTACGTCAGTAGCCTTGTATTAAATTGTCAAGCTTTTTAACAAAACAAATATAATTATATTGAAAATTATAAAAATACTAAAAAAAATTAAAAATTGAAAATGTCCGTAAACAGCTCAAGACGACTCGAAATATTTTAAACATTTTATGTAGTATGGGAATTGATAAAATTAATATATGGTGTAAATTTCATGCATCTACAGTTATTTGTTTTTGAATTACAACAAAATAAAAAATCACTACAAGAGAATTCTAGTGAATATGCAATGTTAAAAAAATTTAACATCAAACGCACATAAAAATTTAATTTGACTTTCCGATAGACATTTTTTTTGATAAAGATAGAAAAACTTATGAGGAATCTTGTATTAAATTTTCAATCTTTAGATTTAAAAATAAATTTTTTCATGTATTTATAACTCAAATGAATTTGCCCATCTTCGTGATTTTTATGCCTTTTGTCAAAATTTGAACTTTAAATGCTTCATAAAAAATTTGTGACTATATAACATTTTTAAATATCATTGTAACAATATACTTAAAGAATTGTATTACATTTTCAAGCCTTCTGACCCAACGAATAAAATTTAATTGACATTTATAGTCTATAGAAAATAAAACTAAAAAAATTGGAAACTGAATATGTCCGTGAACGGCGAAAAACAAGTCAAAATATTTTAAAAATTGTATGGTGTATAGAAAATTTTAATATAAACATTCAGTGAAAATGTCATGTATCTATGATCATTTGTTTTAGAGTTACACAAAAACCAAAAACGATTTGGTCGACTACTTATCGTGTACAAATAATAACATATTATAAAAATAAAAAAAAACACATCATTGTAAAATCAATACAATTTTCGATCCGCTCAGAAACTAAAATAGTTGGCATTTTACAAAACAATGCGTATAATAAATTATAATACATTTTAAAGTAGAATAATATGTTAAATAAACATCACATTTTTTTTTGAAAATGTTTTATAAAAATATCATTGTTTTTCTTAACATTTTCATTTGTAATATTTAGAGTTTCAAATGACAACAATGATTGTAAAATGTATATTATTACGATTTATACCGAAGAACGGTATTTCGATGCACTATGGTCTGGCAATTTAGGCATTTTACGATTGTAAATATATTGTTAGTGCAAAGGAAGACGTCAATATCAAACTGACAAAACATCAGAAAAAGCACCAATGAAAATATTTAATAATAACTATTTTTGGTCAGTAAAATTCGATTACACGCATCCTACTCTAAGTTACAAGTAAACTATTAGGTTTTTTGTTACAATTGTTTGTACGATTGACGCATTATCGTATCATTATATTATAGGACTTCAATATTTCACAGTTGTATTCCAACGTTGTCATATTATTTTGTTCTTGTTATTAATAACTGGTGATCTACTTTTAATAATATGAGCAAACTATCAGAAACATGCAACGTCGACTTCAATTATTCAGAACACGCCATTAGATACCGTAAATACAACGGTCAGCTAATACGCTTTAATATAAGTTATACAATAGGGCTCAGAGTTGCATATTTTTGTAGGTACATGCTATTGCTATTGATTTATAGTTGACCAAGGCCAATACTCAATAGACTAATGATGACTGTATTCTTCTTTGGAACATTTATTATCTTTTACTAATCAGCTATTTAGTTCTTGAATAAAAGTTATCTTTTATTTGCAATTATTTTTCGAACTTCGAAGTTGCGGGAGGCGGGAATAACTTTTATGATTAATATGCTTAATTGTGTCATATTTGAATACAATAAAATCATGCCAGTCCATATTACTATAGTGGTAAGGCGAGTTAATGGTTGTTTTACCCTTGGCAACAGGCCATTGGATTTTGATGGGGGTTATGTTTGGTAAAATTGGAACGTATTGGCAAGGATCCGTCGCAAAGAACTCGGGAGGTCACCCATCTGGAAGCCTACGACTCCGGTCGATGTTTAACCGAAGTACACATTAGGGACTGCAGCCAACCACCGGGCCACACCAGACTCCATACACAGTTTTATTTACATAGATTTTAGAAACAATTTCTATTCTTATAAATTTAATGTTATTAATGTTCTAACTTTTCAAGTATATAAAACCATAATGTTCTAATTTTAACACATGATTTCTTAATGAAATTAAATTGTATTATATTAATTGAATAGATAAATTATATTTTATTATTTTCAAATTATTTCATCTTTTTAAGTAGGTAGGTAAAATTTTTTAGGACTTATAATTTGAGATTTTTATTTTACGGACATTTTAGCCCGGAACCACGTAGTGTATATAACGCAATAAAAACAACAGTCGTCGACATTACTATTAGTTATTACATATTATCATCACTATTATTATTGATCATTACCTGGATGTACGCTTCGGTCAGAGTGATCATCTGCGGGAGTATGTCGCTGACGTGCAAATCTTGCATCTCGTACCACTTGCTGTTTCCTTGTTTTAGCACGTGCACGCGATACGTGCCTTTGTTCGGTTCCCCGTCGTGCACGATGTTGGCGATCAAGTCGTAGGAAGTATTTTTATGCGCTGCTTTTACCTCTGGCGTGAGAATGTCTCCGAAGTCCACGTTCCTTAAAACGGAAAATTGTCTATGTTATTAACGGTCATATATAGGGTTCAGCAAGCTTAGAAGTTGTATAAGTTAAAATTGAGAAAATATGCACATACAAATCTAAAATATGCAGAACAATTAATTAAATACACATAAATTATTCAAAAAAAAAAATTATAACTTATCTATAAATTATCAGTTACATCATAGTATAGATACTATACTATGAATTACGTCATGTATTAATTAATATGATAAGGTTGGAAAAACTGGTAGGAAAAAAATACACTGTCACGTGTTATGTATACCAGGCTATAACGAAAAGATGACTTTATAAAAAATTTTATTATAAAGGAGAAAAATTAGTTTTTTACTATTTTGCACAAATCTTTAACAAAAGAAAATTTCTAAACATGTATGTGAAATAATCGAGTATAGAATGTTCATGGTAAAAATGAACAAACATAAAATACAGCGTTGTATCGATGTATCTCGGTTTTAGTGTACCTCAGTTCAGATATTATAGCTCTTGAAATATTTTCAAACGTGTTTTTCTCTTTAAACTTTTCTACTGTCTCTAAGAACAAATAAATAATTTCTGAATATTTTGTCAAAATTGGTACAGTATATTTGAGTCTATAGGCAACAAAGATTTAAGATAATATAGAATAATAATTTTATAAATAAATACTCTTATTTATTTTAAGATACAATTTCTTTATTCGAGACAATAATATAATATAAAGCAACAATTTGATGCATGCTTTAACTCATCTGCACAAGCAACCATTTATAAACCAACATTTTTTTATAACTTTCACAATTCTCAAAATCTTTGTGTCAGCAATTCTTTAAAATGCGAATTTTTGAAAATCTTTTCTTAGTGCACCCTTAAGTGGTGGTAGTACGAAGGTACCATGAAAATTTCAAGTCTCTAGCTATCATTAGTTTAGGCTCTATGTTGATTAGTCAGTCAGTAGGTCGGTCAGTCAGTCAGGGAACATTAGGTTATATATACAGATTATAGGTTCGTAAAAATAGATGAAAAAAAATCAAGAAATATGAACTCTTTATCTTAAATTTATAAATTATTTAATAAATTTGCCTTTTTAATTTCTTCAATTGTCTTTGTATAGAAAAGGCTTTTGGTTCGGTCTATTTTAACGTTTAAATCGAGACCTGAATATATATAGAAGTATAATATGCAACTCCTACAACTTTCCTAACCTTAGTTATTACACAACCTGTGCTACAAAATATATATAATACAACTACTAGGTAACTAGATAGCCGACTTGGCTAATGTTGAAGTTAGGTATATAGAGGTCAATGTTTACAAATTTGTCATTGATAAGGTTTGAAAAGCGATAGGTTAACTAAATTTGTATATTTATGTAAGGTTATTGTCAAATTACATTTCAAATTTCAATGAACAAATTTTAAACACGGGTCCTCTTCGATTAAAACTGTCGGCTATTTTTTCGACTTCAACATTACACAAAACTACAAAAGCCAAATCAGCTGCTATCCAGTAGTTGTAGTACTATGTAGTATTTTTTTAGCACGACGCCATTGTAGGTATACGATTTATATATTATAATTTCTTTTCTTTGTACTCACTTTACCGGGAAGTTGACGATAGTGGGATTCTTCTCGACGAAAAACGTGTTCTTCGTAAAACGCTGAAACGAGTGAGCAAAACAGCCGGAATAGCATATGATATGTGATTAATGATAAATACAAATAATTTATTAAATTGAAACGCGCGCCCGAATGGTGGCAATCGCATACACACAATACTATCATTCGAACCTTTATGTATAGGATCAAGTACGGCGGGAGCTGAGTGATCTCGAAACGTTTCATGAAGTTTTCCTTGTAAGTCTTGTACTCTTTTTCCGATTCATTGTTGAATTTAGTCAGCAGAGAATACAAACTCACCTTTAAACACACGATTTGACCGGTTAATCACCTGGACAACTAGCTAAATTCGAGGTCGCCGACAAATGGTTACATATTACATACTTGAGGTATGATGTTCTCCATGACTTCGTCTTTGAACAACGGTGGCGGTGGTAGATCACAAGTCAAATAGAGAAACGGCGATTCGGACACGTGCTCGGCATATTCGTCCGTGCACAGCAGACTGTACCTCTGTTTTTCGTCCAGCTCCACAGGCGGAATCTTTCGAGTCTTCACGCGCATACTGCCCATGAACGTCTTGTACACGATACTGGAGTGACGGCTCTTCTTCCCATTCAACGCTCTGTGCAAAGAGTTCAAAAACCACGACAAAAAGTCAATCGGGTCGCCTACGCACACATGCACACACACACAAGAGATGGTCCATTAGTGATTATGTCATAAAAAAGGGCATGCACTGTTTCTGCAGTAATTAATATTTATACGGTTGTAACAGCAATATAATATTACTTATACGTTATATGAAATCAGTGGCCTATGTATATGGGGAAAGGGGGGCTATTCCAGGAGTACAGGAGCCCCATATAGAATGAACAAAAAGAAAGATTACCCAAGACACTGAAATATAGGCCGAGATTTTATGTAGATTAGTTATTTAGAAAAGAAATACCCATTAGCTAAGAGTACAAAATAATTTAGGTATATACTGCAGTATGGTGTATACTAGGCATAATATAGGTACTCACCCTGCTCAGTGAACTGAAACTTCTTGCCGCTCCACAGGACGACCGCCTGTAACATTTCGTGTGGCGACACGTGCGCCTTGAAGTTTCGTGGGTTCCACAGCTTCCGCATGAGCTCACCGAACCGCTGGACCAGCAGGAATACGCTGTCGCCGGGTGGCCGTTTCACCTTAGCGTAGTTCCTCTCATCCAGAAAGTAGTCCCGGAGTGGCGTGACGTTGGATAACGCCTGTAAGATGACGTTGCAATAGTCATTGGCCTTGATATTGTTTAGGCCCACTATGCCAGGCAGGTAAAGCGTGCCGTCGATTGCCCGCGACCGTTTGTCACACGTGTCCAGCTGGCCGACGTGCTTGGGCGCGAAAGTCGGGTTCAGCACGTACTTGATGTCGTCCAGCGAGGAATCTAATAGTGTTGTGCACAAGTGCATATATATTAGACTTCATTGCATATTATACATGTAATACGCTTGTGTATTATACTCTAATCAGGGTATACTCCTTATTTAGTTTTGTAGAATCGAAGCCCCCCCTCCCCGCTAATATTGATGTTAATAATGTGTACCCCCTCCCCTGAAATTTTAATGGATCAATGTTCTCTAGACACCTTATATACAACAGAGCGACTCTCACTCATACCCTCTTTTTCATTATGATTCTCATTATATTTATTTTTTCATTGCATGCCAAGTAACAATATTAACGTTGTTAACGTTATGAGCACAGAAGATTGCGCGGACTTAGCAGAGGTCGTAAGTAAAATATGTTAGGACAATATATACAATATGGATTTTAAACAGCAAAAAATACATTTTCAAACGTATCATATCTGCAATTTTGCATTTTTTGTGATTTTTTAGGTATTTAAATCCCAGCTCTAAATTAATAACTGATAATTATAGTAAGGTCAAAGGTAAGTGAGGTTGGTGACACCACTTACCATGAAGCGATGTCATACGAGATAGCAACAGCTGTTGACGAGATCTTTGAAAATAAATAGTAACCTGTCATAACTGTGCTGCGTTTTTTTATCACATTCCAAAGGCTATAAAGTTTTTAAACCGAGTAAGAAAAAAAATAGTTTAAATTAAATATGCATTTGAAATTCACACATACTATAGATGTGAACGGTTTCGATTAGTCATCAGCAATCAGAGGCGGAGTCAACAACCGCACATTTAGTGTCAATTCTAATAACACGTAATTACCTAAACTCGACAGGATGACGTCCCCAAAAAAAAAATTCTAGGCTTTTATATAATATACTGACCGACTATTTCGTAGTTATCGGGCAGACAGTAGAACTTCAGGGTTTGTAGGTTCAAAAAAACGTGGTGACTCTCAGCGACGCTGTGAGTGTAGGCGTGAGTGTTGGTGCCGCGACCTGCAATGACCATCGATGATAAACAAAACGATGATAAACAGCCACAGTAGATCGTCGTCGATTGGAACGGGTCCATGAAAAGCACAAAAACAATATATTAGTACACGCGGAGTTATTCGTTTCGAGCGCAAAATAATATACGTTACCTTGAAAATATTTACCGCACACTAGACACGCGTAGACGTTGATCCGCGACAGCGACACGGAACACAATTTTTCGAAATCAAAGTCCAACACCTGTCGGTTGATCGTGTCTAAATACGGACACAAGCGGTGCACTTTTTTCGTCCATTTGTCTACAACAGAAACAACGCAGTTGTATTGCGTTCGGGTTTTCGCCAAACGAATCATAAAATACATACAAACGTTATACGATTTAAAAACGATTGGCGGTTAGATGATGGGGATGTCATAAACCAGGCAAACAAAAATGTATTACTTTTTAATCTTTATAATATAATAATAATAACACAAAAGGCATAAAAAACTGCATTCGTTTCCAAATGGCATAATCACAGCAATTAAACCGTTAGCTCCCAAACCATTTTTTTGTAAAACCTATAATGTATTTCAACGAGTCAAGAACAATGGTGCAATTACAATTTTACTTTTTTAAATTCGCGATTTTGCGTTTTCTCGCACATAACCCCTCATTGGGAGGGATATTATTTTTGTTATTACTTTAATAAGTAAGTATAATATCGTAAGTGGGATAATTTCTGATTTCATTAAAATATTGAGGGTAAAAAAGCTTACATTTATACGAAAAAAAATAAAAAATATTTATTTTTTTTAATTTATCTTGAAAACACGATTTTCCATCTACTTTTTATGAAAGTACTGTCTAATATAAGCATGCAAAAACACAAGTTTTGAAAAAAAAATTCACAAAAATGGGTTGGGAGCTAACAGCATTTGTTTCAAAAGCTCTATTCAAGACTCATTCTTCTGGCTTTTATAGAAAATTCGATTTTTACACTTTTAGATGCATAATTTTCCTGATTTAAGCATCGACTTGACATATATATATAGGATAAATCATAACCATGTTAAAAGCCGCAGCCAAAAAAGGCCCAAGAGGATATATTCCACATCACCGAAGGCAACTCCTGTGCAACTCCGTTGGATCAGAGTAGCCGTAGTGTCGCAGTTTATGGGACCCATAATATCATTTCATTGGAATTTTTTTTTTATTTTCGGAATAATTTTAATATTATTATACAATGTTAATTTTGAAATAAAAAAAAAATAGATATCAACATCAGCATTTAGATTCTGAGCGAAGCGATGAATATATCGGCTTTACAGCGTATTTTTGTGTGTGTCTAAGTCATTACCTTTTGGAGTAGTAAATATGTTTCATTCTTCAACATTGAGGCTGGTTTCTTGTAACAAATTAGACCTAGTAGTTATTTTTGGCATGATTAAACGGCACGCAGGTGAATATAATCAGTCATTTTTTTCTTTGTCAAATGCAATACATAACCGTTAAAAAATCACACCACAAAATATCTTTAGATTATAATTTTAGATCTTCTGTGCGTCTGTAGTGATCAGGTGATTTCTGAACGACTTAACAGATTGAGGTAAAAGCTATATCAATAGATTCCTTGAGACCCAGAAAGGAGTTTTAGTTTCTTTTTTCAACCATAATATTTTTTGTTTATATTTAATGGTTACATGGTTATAGGTAATAAAATAATTATTGTGATTGGACATTTGGATATAATTGTCTGTATGGTACCTATTATATTTTGTAATTTAGGCTAATCATTAAACTATTATATTTAAGTGTAAAATGAAGAAACTATTATACTGAGTAGTTATTATATATTAGAGTAATTGAGGTTTATATAGGTACTAAAAAAATACTAGACCTAATTTGACAAAAAAACTGAAGCGAACCGAAAACGATAGGTAGATCGATTATAATAGATGGTCAGTTAACATATATTATTTGTAGGGGTATACCTAAATTATGTATTTGCAATACTCAGCAAATCCATAACTTTTGAGTTTTAACCAAATGGCACAACATTGTTCACACATATTACCTATTTGGGGTCAACAATATAATTCACATGTAACAGCAACTATACATTAAAGGCAATATGAATAATACTTATTAATAAAAAAAAATACTAAATTAACAAAAAATATTTGGCCGATTTTGACGATTCAAGGAAGGTTCAGATTGAACCTGTTATTTTAGGCTGGCTTTCCGCTATACTAATAAATAATAATATTATAACCATAACCAGATATTCGTTTATTCCTGCTTGCAATTGGTTCACGCAAGAAAAAAGTTTTTTTAAAGTTATATAATTGATAAACTATTACAGTGGGTTAATAGAAAAACCAATGATTTTATAACATTTAATTTTTTTTCACCAATCAGTATTTATATTCGATTATTATTTTCGATATTTATGTAGGTAGTATTACATTAATTTAATATTATTACATTCATTACACAAAAACTTCATTATAATAGATATAATAAGTCAAAATACTGTTATAAATGCGAAAGTAAACGAATATACTAATATATTATATAATGGCTCATTATGTTTAAACTTTGATTTATTTTTATTGTTCCCGTGGTTTTTAAGCATCGATTTTATAAAATAAATAAGAATGAAAAATATTTTTAATAAGCAACTTTTACTTTTTATAATATTATAAAGTTGAAGTGTTCTAATATCTAGTTAACTAATCTCAGCAACTACTGGACAGATTTCAATAAAAATTATATCAATAGATTCTTGGAGATACGGATGGTGTTCTAATATTATTTTACCCCTGTAGGTTAAGTTAGGTATAAGGTGGCTCACACATGAATTTTGTCTTGCATTACACAAATCAAAAAATACATTTTTTGTTTGTACATAGGGTTGAATTGGTTACAGAAAGTCAATTGAAAATAAAAAATGGTGTTGACTAGCCGACCCACCCTATTCGTTGCTCTATGGGATTTTTTAAAAATAAAATACAATAAAAATAATATTAAATGTACTATTTATTATTTAAATTTTAATTGTACAACAAAATGCTAATTACCTACTGTTTGTAGCAGGTAGCTGATCCAGAAGTCACCCAAGGGAAGGGAGCGAATTTTCAAGCGTTAAATTACCTCTTTGTTTAGCCAAATATTATATAATAAAAAATAACGTTAAAAACAACCCCTCATATCAGCCACTGGTTTGTAGCTTATAGACTCAAATAATTGACTGATAATAACGAAAGTTCAGAGATTGTTATTAGGGATATCAAGAAAGTTAGAGAGTAGTTTGAACAACGCTCGATAACATTATACTAATTGATCTATTTATTTCCCTCCGCAGGTAGATTGTCCATCTCGATCGAATAAGTTCAGAAAGCGACATACACTATATAACACCGAAATACACCAAAATACCTCCGTTTTTAAAGTTTGTTTATTTTTCCCGAGCGAAGTCTGTACATACAGCCAGTCTAAAAATAAGACTATAATTTAATAAAAATCACGATCAAAGCTAATTTTTTGTTATTTTTAAATTTTGTTATTATAAATGTTATATTATATAAAATTATTATTTATTAATATATACATTTTACACATTTATCATTTAACATATGGCATGGGATACGAAGTTATTTATATATATATTTATCATCTGACGAATCTGGTTATAATAAATAAACATAAAATAAGTTAACTTATTATTTTGTTGACTTGTAGGTAGGTATTTTTAATTTGACACTATTTCTTAGCTAAAATATTAAATTGGTCTAAAGACGAGAGTATTTTAATCGAAAAACTAAGACGAGATGAGAATTTTATCAATTAAGACAACGAGTAGGTGGTTTAATGATACTATTCAATAACTTTTTACACTTGGATCTTCAGTTTCCGTCAACTACGTATTAATTGCCGTGTACAAATGAAAATAAACCAACTTAAACATTATGTGTAATGATCTACTTTAACATACATTTGAATTTCCGTATGTATAGTCAATTTATGAGTCACATAACTACATAAGACATGTTAAACTGTCTTACTTGAATGTGACACAAAAATTCACTATGCATACGGACATTAGAAACAAAAGTCCAATACCATAAAAAAAAAAAAAAAAACATTAAACAGATAAATTACACGAGTATGTAGTTCCGCCGTCACGTTTTTTTCATTTATATACTCATCCACCCGGGCAATAGATGTAAGAATTAATATAGTTACTTATATATAATATTATATACAATACATAAATTAAATATTATTATTTATTATTAATTTAGTACCTACTGTCCTATTTACATATTCGTTTTTTATGTTTCAATTAAAAAAATAATAATTTCTTAGGCGGTGACTATAAATTTAATTTTTTCCACCTCTTCACTAACCTTTTGATGTGAGTTTTTGTAAAGCAAAAATATTGGTATTACTATTATTGAGTAATATCTCATAATAGTAAAAGTCCGGTAACACAACTCACAAGAACCATTTAATTTCATAAAAAAACTTATTTTTTCATGCGTTATAAGAAAATAAATCATAGTTTATATTATGTGAAATTTCAACAATTTAAAATATATTAGCAAACTACCTATACACGCAGAAAAATCTTATAATTATCATTTTTAGTTACAATAACTGTTTTAATTGATACCATCATACTGTTAGTTTTTACTATTAAATTAATTTTATCCTTCATCAATTTTACATTTCTTAAGAATTAAAAACATGACACATTCATTTTAGGTACTGCATTCAAAAATTTGTATTATTGAATGTTTTATAATTACAGATTTATTTTTTAACTTCTAATACTATTATACCCATTTCCCTGTTTGCCGAGAGAATGTGGTAGTGCACAAACCAGGACGCGTCACACCTTGCTGCAATGACACAAAACCCCATATCTCGGCTCTAGACGTATGCGCAAATTAACCACATTCTCTAGGTGAATGGAGTAAACAATTTAACCAAAGGTTGGTGGTACTTAATGTTAAAATAACCACATTTATTGAACTCTTACTATAATTGCAAAATAACTGCTTCTCATTGCATCAAGTATTGAATTAATATAAGTATTTAACAATAGTAATTTTAAAAAAAGTTTGACCCATGTATATAAATATGGACATTTTACGTATAAATACTTATTGTAAACAATACTGTCAATACTTGTTTTTATTATCAATCATTTAAAGGTAATTAAGATGTATAAAAAGATGAACAATTCAACATGACAATAAAGTTAATTAGAACTGTTATAAAATTGAAAAGAAATTAATAAAGAACCAATTTATCAAAATTTAAATAGAGTTTAAAGAATGAATAGTGAAATAGTATTTCTTAATACTAAATTGTC